AAAAAGTGTAATTTAGATATCAGTAGTTTTCGTCCCATTTCATTACTTTGCAATTTTTCTAAGATTTTTGAAAGATTAATCCGGCAAATATCACTCAAGTTATATGTTGGGTATACCGATTTTTCGAAGGCGTTTCACAAACTTAATCATGGAATACTTATTTCTAAGTTAAATGATTACGGCTTACCATTATCTCTAATCAATTTGTTTTCATCTTATCTAAAAGATCGGCGCCAGTTTGTTATATTTGGTGGACGCAACAGCCTGTGTTTTTCAAGGCAGCAATTTAGGCCCCCTTCTATTTAATATTTTTATTAATGACATTGTCAAAAGGGCTGATGTTAATTGCTTGTTATACGCTGACGATATAAAGTTGTTCTGCAAAATTGATATATAAAAGTGGTGTGTCCATAATAACATGACGCATTCACTTAAGAGTAATATTATCTGACATGATTACCAAATCAATGACATCGTACTTCAGCGTATAGCTACTTTTGTTGATCTAGGTGTCACTTTTGACTCTAAACTTTCTTTCATTCCATATATTGACTCCGCTGTGTCTGCCGCGAATAAAATGTACAGGTTTATAGCACGGAACTCTAGAGACTTAGCAGATTTAGACACTTTAGACTCTGTACTACGCATTTGTTACACCTCACCTGGTGTTCTGGCGGTCGAAGTAGTGTCGGGGTGGTGTCCTTGCCTATAGATCACCGACCGACTAAAACCTTTCCCCCTCATTCTCGCACCCTGTCTTTCATCCATCTCCTCCCGCAAGTTCGACACTCTTCGTGCTCATGATATCAATATTGCATTTGTTTATTGCTCCCCATTTCTCCGCCTTGTGAAGCAGGCCTTCCACTACGCTCGCCGGTGTCAGGGTTTCTGGCGCTCTCCCGAGGGTTTTGCATATCCGCAGCCTCTGCGTGGTCCAGCGTGCGCAGCTGATCAGCGTGTGCTCCGCACTGTCCTCTCTATCGCAGACATTTAGTGTAGATTTTGCATAGTCTATTTGTGTAGACTTTGAAGTCGCCATGCCCAGTCAGTACTTCTTTAAAGTGTTTGTCCGTTCCTTCGCCCTTTGTTTTGCACCTGGACCTCTGCCTTCTTGGGCAGCGTATCTCCTCTGCTCCACTATTAAATCCACGGGGGGAAACCCGTTATAACCTGGACTGCTGCGCTGGAGACCGTTCTGTAGCCGCACGCCACCCTCAACAGTGCTTTCCTTTGTACGTTTTCCAATATTTTACGGTAGGTCTTTATCCTCATTAAAGGACTTCATATAGGTGTGACATACATAATTGTGGACTGCACAACTCCAAACAGCACTCCCATCTTTTCCGTATTTGGACCTGTGTAATTTGCATTAGTCTTGCGACTGACGCTAACTTCTTGGTTGCCTTTTGCGAGACCACTCTGACATGCTCCCCGAAAGAGATCACCAATCAGTACACCCAAATATTTTATGGCCTTAGCTGGCTTGACTATTTGGTCCTTTACGTTAATCTGGATGTCCTGTCGGTTCCTGCATCCACTCAGAACGACCGCCTCCATCTTCTCCACGGCTAGTTCCAGGTTATTTGCATGCAGCCACTTTACAACCTCCTGGAGCGCATGGTTTGCATTTAGAGTCAGGTCTTGTTTGTTTCGACCTGATGCTACTATGGCTACATCGTCAGCATAGCCTACGACGCTGGCCCCTGGGCCAAACTCCAGTCTTAATATATCGTCATAGTATACATTCCATAGTAACGGGCCCAGATCCTTGGGGTATTTCTGCGGATATTCTTTTCTTCTGTTTTCCAAACAGTATGACTCTATCGTCTAAATAGTCTCTAACCAAGTTGATTAGGTATTGTGGGTTGCCACAATAGCTAATCAATTTATCAATCAATATTCTTAGTTTTTTAAGGAGTTTCGCCCACGATGCCGAATTAAAAGCGTTTTTCACGTCAATAGTATTAGCATACACTATCTTTCATCTTTGCCTTGGAAGTTTACTGCCTCTGCCAGCATCATCACATCGTTTATTGTGTCTAGGGTGGACACGCCTTTTTTAAATCCATACTGTTTTGCCGATATTCCCAAGTTTCCAGCCAGTTCTTCTTCCAGTCTATCTTTTATTATGTGTTCGTACAGTTTAGCGATCGAGTTTACCAGGCACAAGGGTCTATACGAATTTGCGGTCTCAAAAGGTTTACCGCTTTTGTGGATCAATACTACCTTTGTTAGTTTCCACGCAGTGGGGAGTTCCTGTCTCGTCATTAAGTTATTATAAAGATCCCGTAGTATTGTGGGCTCGTTTTTTGCAAGGATCTTGATTGTCTCCGGTGTACCGGAATACCGCCTGGGCCCGGTGCTTTCCTCACTTTCAATCTGTCTGCTGCTGTGGCTATTTCTTGCGTGCTATAGAGCGGTATCTCGCTTGTGTATATGGGGGCCAGCAGATTCTGCTGCAAAATTTCGTGTGGAAAAGGTAACATCTATATAAGATTTCTGCTGCCTTCTTTTGAATGTTGGTGTGCCTCCCTTATTGTGAGCTACTAGTCCAACTATGGCGCACGCTTGCGACAGTCCCCTCCTGTCCATAATCGGGGATCCCCATTCCGGAGACTTCGCGTTGTCCCACATTTATAGCAAAGTTCCCTCCTATCAGGTCTCGTACACTCATACGAGCGATGCTCGTATGACCAACACTTGAAACATCTCTCTATGTTTAAACGTCGTTCTAGTCTGCACCTTACTAGCCCTATTCGCAGTTCCTTATAGTTGCTGAGTAGCTCCTCCGCCTCTTTATCCTGTATCATAAGCGTGACCGCCTGTGTATCTCCAGCCCCTGGTCTCAGTTTAGATAGTCGGAGATCGCTTGTTTTAAGATTCCCGACTTTAGACTCGATGGCTTTAACAATCTTTTCCTCCGTTACAGTGGCGTCCAGTCCTCTTATGTGTAACGCTGTAAGTGATGATCTCTCCATTGCAATAATATTTGTCTTTATGCTCGTTGATAACTCTTGTATCTGCTTTTGAGCTTCTGACAACGCCACCTCGTCCTTTCCCATTACTATTAGCAGTTTGCCATCTTTTGTCTTAATTATATATTTTATTTTTTCACTAGCCTGTGTATTTATTAATTTCGCCTAGATTTCTCTCTACGTTTCTTTATAGACGTTGGCCGTTCTTTTTGATTATTTGTAGGCTTGTTTTCCTGAGTTTCTGCTACTCTGCCTTTGGTTTGGAATATTTTCGTGATGTATATTACTACGTTAGTTGACGTCCTCCTGTATACCACTTCGGTCATCTTCCTCATTTTGTCCAGGTGTAGATTATTTAGATGGTGAAGGGCAACCCATTCGTCGTGCTCTGTCCCTTTCCGTAGCTTCATCAGTACGTCCCAGAATTTTTCTTCTCCTGCCTCTATTTGGATCTTGATGACCTTTTGCCCAGCAGTTGGCTCCTCCCTATCCGATTTAATACTGGTTGTCTATTCCATCACTACAAATTCGCCTTTAACGTTTGCTAATTCTTGGTAGCGACTTTTGTATTGCGACTGTATACTTCTCTCCAACTTAGGGTCCGAAGGTTCGACGAAGACTACTTTGACCGTTGACGCTTTAGTAACGGATTTCCGACCTTTATTTCGGTGTGTTCAAAAACTTGTTTTTGGCCAGTTGTGCCCTTCGATTTCCTTGTATTCATTATAATTACTTAGCGAGTCGAGTTTTGAGGCCGTTATGTATTCAGGCTCTCGCCCTGTCTAGGTCCCTATGGTTCGGGTGTGTGGATTGACTCCTTCTCTTCGAACACTTGTCCTATCTAGGATTTTCCTCAGAGTTTCGGCGTCAGTTTGCAGCTCTTGCTCTCTTGACTCACACTGTACGGTTTGTATGTCGGCATCAAAAGTCATTTATATTATTTATTACTTATATATTTATATATATTTATTATTTATATTTATATTATTTATATTTTCTATCTTGGATCCATTCCCACAGGGTCTTTCTGCTGAGGATATCCCTCTGCTCTCCAAATTTTGACGTAGCCTTTTTTATTTCTTTTTTTGTGTGCGGGTTCTGCTCCACCGCTTTGGTCAGATTTCTAACCAAGCGGTCTACCTCTTTCAGGGCTGCTGTCAGTTCGAGTAGAGTGAAACTCTATATCTGGATCCAGAAAGAGCCCAGCTAGGGTGCCTCGAGGTTGCCACACCCGTACTCACAGTGTGAGGCCCTAAGGGTATTTGTTAGATCTAAATTAGAATACAAATCGATGCTTGACAGCTGGTGGTGAATTATTTTGAGTAGATAGATGCTTACGCTCCTCACTAAACTCTAGATCCCGGTAATGGTTAGTCCTAGGAGACCGCTATTCGTACAGAGCGAATCGGGGTCAAAAAAAAATTTTTTTTTGTCTGTTCTCGGATCTCTGTACACCGAACACATTTATGGCCATAACTTTCGAATGGATTAAGGTAGTAAGGTAGTAAGATATACCTTCCACAATCCGCACAATATACTTAAAAATATCCGCGATCGAACCTTTTGTGAGTAAATTATTGGGGATAAATAAAAAACTGCTAAAGATGCGATAAATTGATTTAAACAGTATCGTAAACTGTGTCGACAGAGACTTTTAGGTTTCGTCAATTATACAGGGCGCGCGAAATCTTTGAAAAAATATCATTACCATTACAAATTTACATATTCACCAAAGCCTGTCGTAACTTTGAAGTTCGGCGAGACGTGAAAGACACTTTATACAGGGTGCATACACAATTAAATTAGATCGATTTTGTGAAAGTTCCACAGTGGTCCGCAGGAGCACGATAGAAAAACAATGCTTCCCTCTAGTACAAGAAACCGCGAAGCGGCTTCTCTTTCAAATAAAAAGCTACTTCACGCTACGTACCACGAACATTCAAAGCAATCGTGTTACTAAAGCGGCGTCTATCAGACTTTTCATACTTCTTTATCGATAATGTTCATAAGATTTATCTACCACAGGACCTTTCTGACTGGAAGTACATCAGTTACATGATCCCTATCATACACGAGGCTTTAAATGAAGAGTCTGACAAAAATACTGAAGCTGTACTAGACACTTCAAGTTTAACAGCCACGTTTCAAAAAGGTAATCAGCATTATTAGCTAATGACGATATTTTAAAAAGTTTTTAACTAATAGGTGGTGCAATATTTCGCATGATACAGCACGTAATGGGACATGACAATTTTATCAAGTCAATCCAGGAATTCGTGATGAAATTGTAAGTATCCATCACTGCGACTGTGTCTCCCTCCATAGTTTCACATTAGTAACATAAATGAAAGTTTAAATCATTTTAACATTAAACATTTAACTGTTTGACATTGCTCCTGAATTATTAGAAACCCTAGAAAAAAACAATACCAATAAAATACACCATATGACATGAGTCATTTTGCTCGACAAATTAAAAATAAATATAGCAGTGGAGTAGACGAGATTCCAACTAGTGTAATTTCTGTTTCATATGTTAGTCAAGTGATGTGTCTATTGATTAATGACTCTTTTAAGGATGGCATTTTCCGAGACCAACTTAGAATAGCTTCAATAAAACTGCTCTATAAAAAGGGAGACCCAGAAATAATTGCCAATTACAGACCGAATAATATTGTGTTGGGATTTTCTCAAATATTTGAGTTAGCTATTTGCGATAGATTAGTAGACTTTTTTAATAAGTATAAACTGTTCGACAATGATTAGCATGGGTATATACCAAATAAATCTACAGAAACCGCTATATTTCAATTTTAAAACACTTGGAGGGAGGAAGAATAACTTTAGTCACGTGCCTAGGTCGTTCCGAAGCACCCGTCATATAGAAAATGATTTATTGCTTAAAAAATTAGATTTATACGTTGTAAAAGGTAATGCGCTAAAATTGTTTGAATTATACTTATTGAGAAGGAAACAACAAGTAGAAATAACCCAAAATGATAGTAGTTACCTTTCGGTTATTAAGAAAAATAATATGGGCATATTCTTGGTCCAATTTTATTCATTATTTTTGTAAATGACTTCTATTTTGTAACAAAGTCAGAAGAACAGAGCATAATATGCTATGCGGATGATACCAACATGCTTGTAAGTAGAAACAATCCTACCGAGGTTAGTGATAAAAGTAACGATATTTTTGCAAGGGCTAATGACTGGTTTCTTTTAAAAATAAATTGATATTAAACAAAGAAAAAAACAAATTTAATCATTTTTTTAAACTACATTCAGTATAATGAAGTATAATGAAATATTAATATTGTGAAGAGCACTAACTCCTTAACTTCTTGATTGGTCTGAAGGTTTTTATTATTTGCTAAATAAATTAAATTCACTTTGTTATGAAATTAGAGTTGTTGCAACCTATATGAAAATGGAAACTTTAAAAATGATGTATTTTGGAAACTTTCAATCACGCATGAGGTATGTAATTACTTTTTTCGGAAGGTCAACTGCAGAAAATTTTCGCGGTTCAAAAGAGAACCTTTCCTGGGGACACAATCCTTATACTAATACACTGCAAGGCTAAGAGTAATGCTTTAATGGATTATTAATAACATTTTGGAAATTTACAACAAGTATGTTACTTTCATTATAATTGGGCCACAGATTTCATTTGTCAAATTGGCACGTTACACCTTTTATTGGAAACTACTTTAGAAATATAAAGCAATACCGAAAGGAGTTGGATTCATGAAGGCTGGTACCAAAAATATAAGCAAACGTTTTATGAAATACATGTGCCACAAGCAAGATATTTAACAAGATAATACGGTATTCAAAATGAAAGACCTTACGCAAGTGTTTGATCAAAGGAGAAAATGTGCATCCTTCCTCCAGTTAATTATAACTTCGTTCTTAAATTTTGGGGAAGAATACCGGCCTTGGAATTGGGCTCATTTTAAAACGGTAAAGTATTCTTGAAAATTCTACGGTGAAATGAACGTTCTCAAGAATTCAGTTCTTTCCGTCTCATCCAAGAAAAAACGAGTGGCCCCTAAGATTCAAAGCTCGAAAATTGATGCAAAAATAACGAAAAATGTTCTGCCTCAGTAAGATCGTTTTGCTCTTTCCGTCCATAAATTATGCTTCAATCAAAATTGCTCACTCATTACATTACTGTTCAAACAGTAACACTAACAAAAAAGATTGTGTTTTTTAAAATAAGTGTAATTGCAACGACAAGTAAAATAAATGCGTTTAATTTGTAATAGGTATTTAAATTCGATAGACGTATTTTATAATTTCATTTATATGTTGTCAAAGAGTGAAAAGTATACGTTTCAAATAACTATTTAATTTCATCTCGTAAAAAATTTTCAATTTTGAAAACTGGTTCGTACTATCAATGAGCTTAATCGCCCCCGACATATAATCTACTAAAATTAAACTAAATTAAAATCGTTGCAGTGCTTTTGGTTCGCCCAAAATCAGTGACCTGTGGATGATATTGCAAGAGAATGTGGATAACGCAATATCGAAAGTTCCAGATGGCGTCGACTTTGCGTCCATAGTTTCGTCTTGGTTCGAGCAGCCTGGATATCCTGTGGTAAAAGCGACTCGCGTCGGCAACGATTTGGTGATCTCACAAGTAAGTGTGCTCCTTAATTCTTAAAAAATACAATACCAGATGAAATGCGTTTGAGAACAGGTCATTTTTCATTCACAACTAATTGAATTAGAAACAAAGTATCGTCGGTAATATATACCAAATTTTTACTAATCGTAATCATCAGAATTTTTCATCGGTATTGAACCGCGCAAGAATCCATTGGACCTTCCATTTGCTGACAGTGTTTTTGGACTCTCTACTCTTTTAAGCTTGCAGTGTTCTCTATGATAATAATGTTTGTCTGTAGTCCTCTACTCAAAGAAATGTGTAAGTAGTATCTTTCCCCAACTTCTCCATCCCCCGCCACCCAGGGAGAAATTTGAGACTGCAAGTTTAGAGATTCCCAACCAAACAAAAAAAAAATAGTTTAATGAGTGTACGAGAGATGTCGTGCATTAGTAGCTCAGGTTTTGTCACCCTTAATAGGGGTAGGTGGTAGTTTTTGTGTTTGTGCTTTTTTGCATTTTTTTTTGCTCCATATACTTAACGTCGCGAGCCCTGCCGACAGAAATGTGTATATAAATAAATTTTTTGTTAATAAATACAATTATTATTAAAATCCTTAGTATATAGAACAGTGTCCTAAAGAAGCCGTAGTATATTAGAAAGAGGAGATCTAAGGACGCCCGCCGAAACAAAACACAATACCAACGAATAGAGATTTAATGACGCCTATTAACTTCTGGGTAGACAAATATGAGCGAAATAAATACAGCAGAAATGTATACATAAATAAATGATTTCTTTATAAATACAATTATTATAAAAATTCTTAACCTACGCAGTGCTCTAAAGGAGTCGTACTATATTAGCTTGCTAAAAGAGATATTTAATGACCCTCGCCGAAATAAAACACAATACCAACGAATAGAGATTTAATGATGCTTATTAACAAAAAAAAATGCCCTTCTGGGTACCAGCGGAATAAAAACCCAAATAAATAATTTGTTTAAGGGTTTATAAATACAGTTATTATAAACATTCTCAATCTAAACAACAATGCCCTAAGGAAGTCGTATTATATTAGCTTGCCGAAAGAAGAGATTTAATGACGCTTATTAACTCCCGAAAAAATGCCCTTCTGGGTAGACAAATATCAGTGTAATAAATAATGGAGAAATTTATATTCAATAAATGATTTTGTTCGAGCGTAAAGCGAAGTTACGTGTGTGATTTGCTTTATTGACAAAAGGTTCCGTGTATGGACGCGCAGCTGAAGCAGATGGGGTAGGGATGCGTGTTACACCACACACCGACAAAAAGATGCGACTGAGACGCGTAAGGACGCATGTGTCCAAAATTATCACGCTGCCGCCAGGCACATTGTAACGATTTGTTCAAAAATAAGTAAAGTTTTTAAGTTTGGCAATTCCACGACTTTCATTCACGACCGAGTCCACTGCTTTCCTGAGCAAAAACAGGGTGGTCCTTCGACGCTCTAACAGATTTGTTTAAATGAAATACTCGTAAAACACAAATGAATGACGCTTGTTAACCCAAAAAAAGGCCATCTGGATAGACAAATATCAGAGTAATAAATACAGCAGAAACTTACACATAAATAAATTATTTGTTTAAAAGTTTAATTTTTTAACATGAACATAAAAGAATTGCACGGAATAATATAAGTATATAAATAAATACATAAATAAATAAATACAATTATAATAAAAATTCTTAATTTGTGTAATTTTGGTATAATACAACTAATTAAAGTGAAAATCGTGCACAAATGTTTTTGAAGTTTCTAAAATTCTAAAACCGGCCTACAATAATTTTTTTTACTTTCAATGAACTCACCAATTTTTCTCATTTTGATGAACATTTTTTCACTTAACTCGCTGATTTGAGACATGGTAACAAAATGCTTGCACAAATAACGATAATTTTTTTAGTAGAATTGTTTGTAGAATCAAACAACACACGTAAGTAGTTACTCGTTAAATTTGTTGTTTTGCAGATATTACCATTATGAATTTGAGCATACTTTGTTCACTTTTATCTCCATGACAGTGACCTTAAGGTCACACATGTATCACGGAGATACAGACGCAGCGCAAACATTTTGCCGTTAGCCAGAAACAAATGATGGATCGGTATGTTAAGGAAATTATCGAAAAAATATATAAAATATTTAGTCTGAACAAAGACCTTTTGGCATCTACAAATAGAAGTACAGATTATTAATGAAATTATTTATTCATTAAATATTGACATTTAACAACTTCTAGTCACAAAGCTCTTCTCGATGTCGAAAATCGAAATATAGAAAATCCTGAAATTCTTCCCAGTCGAAGTCGATTTAAGGGTTTTGGAATATATGCGAACAATTTATACGAATTCATTCTTACATGCGAAGATAAGCAGAGCACTGACTTTTTGCAACTTGTATAGGCACTTTGTTAATAAAAAGAAACAATTACCGGTCACTACATACAATACCTTTTGGAGGTATGTCCCAAAATTATACTTCTTGTCGTTGAGGCTATTATAATTATTAGGCTATTATAATTTTTGAAAGCAATCGATTGCCATTTGCATATGTAGATTATAGTGAATAAAGCAATGTAATTGAGTCTGCAGGTTCAATTTATTTTCTGTTTATTGGATAACTTAAGCTACATTGGCAGCAATTTTCACATATTTGATAAGGTATTTCACGGGAAGCTCATCGGTGTTGCTTGTCGGGCGATTCATCACTTAAGAAATGAGAATTAATTTTGATTTGCTGGTATTGCTGCGTTATTATGTTAGATTTCAAATGTTGAAAGCATACCTTTTTATTTTTATTTTTATATGAGAATAACCAATATAATAATAATTCAGAGATTCGTAATCTGCGTAATCTACAATTCTTATTAAAGGTGCACTGAGGTTGATCCAGTTCAAATTTGAGCTGTATCAATTGAATATTAACGACCAAAAGTCGGAGTAGCTATAGCTGTTGGATCATCGATATGAAAAAATTTGTTTTCACTTGCCGTCTCTATAGATAGTACTATATTCTATTTAGTGGCTTATCAACATGCGTCAACGTTAGAAACTCTCCCGGTGGCTTCATTATCTATTTGATTTCTACCTTGAATTGCAATTTCTTTAGCGACGAAACCTTCACTGTTCTTTATATATCTATGTAACGCCACTGCCAAAATGTACTGCATCGCCCAAAATTTAGTTTTTTTTTTAAATAATATTGCTGATTAAATTTGTCGAAAACATTTATTGGGAAATGCAATAAGCTATTTTTAAATTTTGCTTATCGTATTGTGGTGAAATTTATGCCAACTTGTTAGTTCGCGATACGAAATAAATATTCCTATTTACCGGCCCGTATCTGTTTTGGACCTGAGGTAACCTGTTCCGTAGCTTAAAATAAATACGAACTAAAAGTACGGATTTTCATGACATTTTATATTTTTGCATGACCTGCTATACTATACATACCGAAAAATGACAATAAAACTTTAATTAATGTTGTTGTGAGAATTTAAGTTCAATAAAGGAGAGGTATTTAAATCTATCATGGCTTCCAATAAATTTAATTTTCTACTTTCTGTGGCTGTATGGGTTTTTCTGTGTTTTTGTATTGCTTAATGTTCAATTAGACTCAAATACCTCTCCTTTATTGAACTTAAATTCTCATAGCAACATTAATTAAGGTTTTATTGTCATTTTCCGGTATATATAGTAGCAGGTAGTTTGTAAATATTACATACGGTGTTGTCGAAACAATTGTCACGTAAAAATATATAATTTCGTGAAAATCTGAACTTATAGTTCTTATTTATTTCGATAAATGGATTTTTATCAAGTAAAAGTCACCTCAGTTCAATGTTTAGTAGCTGTTTTGGACATGTTTAAACCTGTTACAAAGCTGTTCAGCAGCTATTTTGTTTCTGTTTAAATCTGATCTAGATCTGTTCGTTCGAGAGCTGTTCCGTAGCTGTTTGGGGCCTGTTTAACTCTGATCTTGATCTAGACCTATTTGAGAGCTGTTCCGGAGCTATTTTAAACCTAATTTAGATCTCACCAAAAGCGTTATCGCTAACATTAAATTACTTAAATTAAATTACTGGAAATATTTTGTTGCGATTTTATTTTTATATCGCATTACAGTTACTGAATATTTTTTTTCAATTTTATACAATATGTCCCGGAGTGAAATTATGAAAATATCCGTCCTTCTTTGAGGATTTGGGTAGACGCATTGGTAACTTCAACGCCGGTTTTAGTTCATAGTTCTGCGACGTGCGTGATTTCTGCATGCCGGATTGTGCAGCTTTGGGACGAGTTGCACTTTCTCACTGCTCATTGTTTTGTCGTTTGCCCGTCAATTTAAGTAAAGCACCATTTTAAATCATTACTTATTTGTTGTCGCTGACTGATTTATTTGGTCCAAACTCGTATTATATTTGTTGATCCGTTGTGTATATCACTTTTGTAGTGGCAAAAGTTTATTTATTAAGTTGGGAACTGATATCTGCCTGATAGCTCTAAAATTTCTTCTCAAAATCTTCTATTTTGGATAAATGTTTTTCCAACTCCTTCATTGAATTATCGCATTTCTCGTTAAGGTGGTGATTAATGTGTTGACCAAATTTATTAACGCTGATGACAGTGATTGTTGCTCAAATGATTTTCTAAGGAGGTATCAAAAAATCAGCGCAATTTGGAATGTAAGATTGGGGTCTTTCTGGTTCTTTTCTCCTTTATTTTGGTAGGCGTCGATGTTAGATCTTATTAATTTTAGAAACCAAACGTTAACAGTGAGGTTGCATTTAAAAAGCAATAATGGTTGCAGTACAATCACGAAAAAAGTACAAAAAGAGAAATATCGTTCGCAAATCCAGTGCCATTAGAAACGGCAAACATTTAACACGTGCAAACCGCACCTTTTTGAAATCATTGTTATTCCAAGTGCTCTTAAAAGACAATTTTAGATATTAACGAAAACTCTATATCGACAACTCCATCTTAAGTTCAGAGTTTCATATGTATCAACCATTCGTGTATTCAGGAACTAGATTCCTTCACTTTACCCTGTGAAGGTGTCCTCCTAAGGTGACAATTACAACGGAAAATCGAGGTTTCTTATAAATGGAATCGCTTTTTTCTTTAGGGAGATCCGTTACGAACCTAATGGCGTCACCTTGGACGCAGTGAGGAACGTTGGTTTGGTGTCAACACTAAAATCTTATCTTTCTTATAACACCAACGAAAGCTTAAAACTGGAGATGCAGGAATGTTTCGAAGATTATCATAAAATTGTATTAAATATAAAGCAAGTGTTGGTTTTAATACCAGCCAGCAACAATGTAGACGAGGTGGTATTTATGGAGGACAATGGACCAACAACCACAACTCCCGAAACATCTAAAGTTTCGCTTAAGAAGAAATATTAGGAAATCACAAAAAAATGATAAATATTGCCGAAGAACTTGCTCTAACTAAAACCATGGAGTCGAATAAAGAAATAACAATTGGTTTCAGATCTTGGGAAATTATTGAATATTAGTCTCTGCCAGAAACCACAACTCACACGTGGCCCGTAATTACAACAAATAAACTAGAGACTTCGCGTCATATCATTATCGCCTTTCACAAAAACAGGAAAGGTCAAGTAGAAAAGGATATGAGTCAATTTGATGATGTCAATTTAACTAATATAAAAGTAACTTTAAATTCTGAACAATATCCGTAACACGATTTAAACCTAAATTTGAAAGAAAAGAAGTATTCGACTCTGTAAGATATGTTTGTCAATTTTAGGCACTCTTATCACGGAACCTCGAACGAGGCACTTTTCACACCGCAGCATTTCAAAGAAAAGTGTCGCATTACAGACATCGATTGTTCTCATCAAAGAGAGTCTTTACAAACTGAATCCGTAGTAATGCGAATTGAATTTGAAACTAATGCTAATATCAAAAAAGATACGTCGGTGTACCGTATCATTTTACATGACAAAGTATTTAGTTATAATCTGCTCACTAATATACTAAAACAATTGTAACGGTTTTTAAAAACCAGATTTGCAAATAATATGTTCAAAAACTTTGCCATAAATATCGTTGGGAACAGTACATTTTTGGCAGTTGCCATCATGATTATCGTGGCGTTAGATATACAATGGTTTAATCTATAGGACCGTGAAGGTTTCATTGCTAAAGAAATTGCAATTTACGACGGAAATGCCCCAATATATAATGATGCTGATAAGGCAAGCGTACGATGGCTTGAGCATTTTCACCACGGATTAAAATATAATATATACCTTTGATTGTTAATAATGAAAAATTCGACGGCAGCTGATACTGCTCAAATTTCAATTGGATCGACCTCAGTGCACCTTTCATATGAATCGTAGATTAGGTATGTAGGTATGCGAATGGCAAAAGATTGCTTTCAATAGCAGCTACCGCAGCAATGTGGAAGAAAATTTTGGGACTGACCTCCAAAAGATATTGATTCTACTGTTTTAGTGACCGTTACATGCTTCCTTTTATTATGAAAGTGCTTATTCAAGTTGAGAAAAAAAAATTGTTCGCATATATTTCAAAACTCTTAAATCGACTGTAAGTCGAAAAGTGTACTTAACGCAGCAAAAAAATAAAATAAAATGTCCACTCTTTTTTGAAATATCAACACTGGCGTTCGTTTCACAAACAGGGACGAACATATGGATTTGCAACTAGAGGAATTCTTGGATTTTCTAAATTTCCTAAACGAAGAAGTAGGAGAACATCTAAAGTGGAACGACATTTTAGTACATATTGGTGACGACATCGAGGTGATGTATTGGAACGAAGAAGAGCTTTGTGATTTGTGATTAAAAAATGGACGGTCGCAAATTTTTCTCGAAAGAGAAGGTATTGAAAAAATTTTGTCAAAAAGGCGCCGACTTTTTAACGCTGTGAACATATATAATTAATAAATAATTTTATTAATAACCCGTATTTGGTTTATGTCTTTGATGTGGCTGTATATTTTATTATTTATTATTTTTAATTTATTTAATTACGCGCAATCTCGGCGACCCAATGGTCTCGCTCCGCAAAAAAAAAACAAACCGCGAGTCATTGCCATCGCAAAAAAATAACAGCGTCTGGGTGTATTATTTACATAGATTGTTCGCGACCTCGGTGACTTAATCATCTCGCTCCGCGATATAAATGTAACGCTGTCGGCCCGGCTCGCCTCCCGCGACGTACGGGAGCACAAAAAAAATGTCAAAAAAGCACAAACGCAAAAACTACCCCATACCTCCATTCAGTGTTACATCTGGCGATCAAAACCTCAGCTATTAATGTGCGACATCTCTCGTAGACGGGTCAAACTATTTTCTTTTAGTTTGGTTGGGAATCTGTAAATTTACAATCTCAACATCTCCCTCTTGGGACGGGGGATGCAGAAGTTAGCTATGAATGCTACCCGGGTTAACATCAGTAGACATGAAGTGAGTATACATAAACATGCACAACGCCCTAAAACTTAAAAATGTTTATCCCACGCGGTGGTCACTTTAGTTATCTCCATTATAAAATTATTTCTTACGGCCGTTCTAACAATTACAAAACAATATCCGGCCATTTCTATTTTGGTTGGTTTTAGTTTTATTTTTTTTACTCCAAGTCTTTACAAGGATTACAAGGAGATAGGGCCGACCGCGTTCTTATTTGGCCTCCATGTACACTAGTGTCATAAATCCGTTGACAGCTCAAAATTAATCTGACGATAAAGTTCAGACGCTTTGACCAATTGATGGCGACTAACTGAGAACCGTCAATATTTGTCAGAGGTTAGTGAATATTGACCTTAAACATAAATTATCGTTTATTATCTACGGATAATATGACAAAACGTACGATCTTATATAACACGGAATAAATTTGTTCAGCGAAAATAACCTTGGCGGGCTGCAACCAAAATCTCAGCTTCTATCTATTAGGAGCCTAAATTAATGTTTTGGTGTTGTAAACAAAAATAATTTAATCTGAAATGGTAGGAAAGGTTCGTCAGATACTCCGAGGATACTACTACAAAGTGGTATATACCCATATCCTACACAACATCGTCAAATCCTCAAAACTTTGAAAAAACCGAACCTATGCTTTGGTTATCGCCGTCCGAAGAAAGTGCAGTTGTACCTCTCGACAGTTCTGACTCGTGGGTAATTTTAAATAACCAGCAAACAGGTAACGGTATAACTTTTGGTACGATGGTGAAGCGATAATACGGTTCAGTGAACTCGCAGGGTTCTACAGGGTAATGTACGATGACATTTTGCTGGATAATATCTCGAAAGCGTTACTTCAGCCGAATTTCGATGGGATCACGGAGATCAACCGCGCGCAAATTGTCGATGATCTGTTCGCTTTTGCGGACAACAAAAAAACAAAATATGCCATGATTTTTGACGTACTTGACTATCTTAAATATGAAGTGGATTTTCTTCCCTGGACGACCGCACTCACCGACTTCACCGGCATACTTGATAGCTTTTCGAGGCACGAAACCAAGCTGAGACACAGAATCAGAGTAAGTTTTTTAAAATAAATAAAAGCATTTATTTGAAAAACGAACATACAATAAACAGGATGGTTCATAAAGAAAGGGAAATACCATACACCAAAGTTTTATAATTGAGCTCAACATGCCTCATACAAATGTTGCCGGTTTCATACAGGACATTCAATTTCAAATTTTTATTCTAAATCTTCAAATTACACGAAAAAGAATTGAATTTTAGCTTTCTGTAAAAAAAGATTTTTTTCCGAAAAATCAATATTTCAAGTTTAAGAGTGCGATTACTCATCCTGGCGGCCATTTCAAAGATTCAAAATTCTACGACAATTACCTTTCCAGATCCGAGTGCCTTTATTCATTGGCCACCCGGTACATATCTTTACCAGATTGCTAAGAGTTTTGCATGTATTAAACGTAAACAGAAGAAGAGTTCAAAAGATGTGTCTTAGAGACACTCAGAAAAATATTTGAAAAGCGGCCCAGCAACTCTTAAACTTAAAGATTTATGAGAAATTGGTGTCAGCTTCGTTCAATTAATTGATAATAACGTTTATATGATATGTCAAAATATGCTATAATGTAATTTTTATATTATATCATGACCAGTTGCAGAAGGTTTAATTTCAAACACAATTTATCAAAGGAGCATATATAGTTTTAGTTTCAACGCAAGGTAATACGAACTAAATAATTGGTAAACAGTTAACCTCCCTTTTTCTATTACGAATGCACCGACCCAGCGCCATATGTGTATAATTATTTTGCTGTGGTATAGCCAGGTTCTAATTCGGAGGTCCTCGAAGACTCATGATATGCAGCAGACGGCAACAGGACAAATAGGCTATGGATAACATCTTGGTGCTTCAGGTTGGTGGATGACGCAATTCATTTAGTAGTAGCAGCAGCCTGTTACTTAAAAAAAAAATCAATATAGATCAAGGAATCGAAAGTCAGCGTCGTAATATTGATCGCCTCAGTTTAAGACGAGGTTTGGGTGTAAAAAGAACGACGTGAGTTGGAGCATGGAATGTAAATAGTTTTAATAATTAAATTTCAGAATTCACATCTAAACTAACAGAACAAAATTTGATTTTCATAGTACCATCCGAGCCGATTGAACTGAGGTGGCTTTTATTTGATGAAAATCCATTTATGAAAATAAATAAAAACTAAAAGTTCAGATTTTCACGAAATTATAAGTTCTTTGACATGACAATTGTTTCGACAACATCGTATCTTTATCAAATGTAATATTTACAAATACACGGTGTTGTCGAAACAATTGTCATGTCAAAAAATATATAATTTAGTGAAAATCTGAACTGTATTTACAAATATTATATTTTATGAAGATACGGTGTTGTCGAAACATTGTCATGTCAAAAAATATATAATTTCGTGAAAATCTGAACTTTTAGTTCTTATTTATTTTGTAAAGGGGGTCAGCTACTGGATAATTTTCTCGATGTTCAGTCGGGGGTAGATAAATCGCAGAGAGCGCGAGATGGAATGTCTAATCTTATTAAATATCAAATGCTAAAACATGTTGAAGACAATAACCCAGAACGAATAATAACCCCCACCCTAAGGTTGTATGGTAAAGAAGCAGTCAATGAGGGTGTGTACGTTCAAAATAACGTCTCGATGGTGACTGTGAAAGACGCGTTCTATTCTCAGCTCTCTGACCTCCTAACGACAATCGAAACCAGCTCATGGCTCGCGATCTAAATGCAAGAGTGGGTAGTCAAGGTATCGGGAAGGTTTTGAAAGCAAAAGTGTAGTGGAATGGGAATCAGAATACAGAATACAGGCAGTTAACCCTGATGCGAACTTTCAGATTCTGATAAATGATGAGGTGGCTGTTAAACATGTGGCGAACTCCAAATATCTGAAGCTGCTTTTAGAAAACTACTTATAGAACAAGTTAGAAAAGAAATATAGAATGGCAAAGCAATTATAAGGCGTCTTAATAATCTTCGGCGGGCCAAACAAATATCCAATAAAACAGAAAACCGCTTGGACAAGCCCTTGTTGAATCGACCCGCTTCTATGGCTCTGAGCTATGGACAATCATTGCCAATATGTAACGTAGAGTCTTGTTGAATGTTGAGATGGATTATCTGCAGCCGAACGCTTGGATGGTTTAGTTTAGTATAGTTTATGAAACAACGCAAGATAGACTTGTTTTAGGACGTCCCTATAAACCTTCATAGTATGTTTTTCAACTCTCTAAGCACAAAAGCATAGATGCTAATTTGTTACATAAAACGTCAATATCAACAAAACATCAATATGAGCACTCCGATCAAGATTATTGTCTAAGGTCACCCTTAGTAAGAGACACATTGGTTGAAATTAAAAGTGTGTGTGTTTTATGCTTATGTATAAATAAATTGTTACACGAAATCCAAGATTGGGCGTTCAGCTCAACTCCATACGTTAGTTCTTCTAACTTTCAGCACATTTGATGGGATTAATGCAAGAAGGGAAATGGTTTATGAAAATAATGAAAAACAGTGGTCGTAGGACAGACAGATCCCTGTGGGACTTGATGTTTTAGATTTAAACTTGATGAATTGTTTCCGTTTGGGCTAACGTATTGTGTTCGATTTTTAAAATACGATTTAAAAAATAATGGTGTAGATTGAGACAAGCCAATAGTTGATACTTTCCGCATCAAAATTTAATAACTGACGCATTTACGATCTCACTCTCACTGTCCTCTATCTTTAGAATTGCTTGTATATTTTCCAGGCGCGAATCAACGCTGTTCCTCTCGAAAAAAAGGGTATAGTTAATAAATAATCTAATAATACAGAAATAGTCTAAATCCAACCTTCTACCTTTTTGAGCAGTGGACTCACTATTGCGTATTTAAACTGATCTGGAAATGTGGCAGTTGTTAAACAAACGTTGAATAAATATGACAATAAAAGCATTAAAGTGTGGTTTGAACCTTTTATTATCCTACTATTAATATTAAAAACTTCTTGACTTGTTGAATTTTTTAAACAGTGGAGTGTATTCATTACAATATCATCTGTAATAAATGAGAATTAAAAAAAGTTTCCTGATTATATCGTATCGTTAATTTCAAAGGAGTTGAAGGTAGATCAAGAATTTGATCAATATTATTTACATCTACCCTAGTAAAATGGAACGGCTCACATTCAATGAGAAGATTTCCAAACCTGCTCAGAAGTCTGCTAGGCAGGACCTATAACCTGCAACTAAAATAGTATTCAACTTTGCAATTGTCGTCGCATACAAATTCAAATTCAAATGCAAAACTGAGAGAGGGCCACAGGTTTCATTCAGGTGGACGTGAATAAAAACAGCTGAGAATATATCTATGAATGCTTACCAACTTCACAGTATTATAATCAAGCCAAAGTAAAAGAGACCCATATGGGAAACATTTCACGCCACTAACCAAAGTTAATTTGCATGTACAGCAACGCAAATGCGGATGCACACTTTGCACGTTAACATCAATCGACGTCATATTGATCACACTATATCGAGACTGGAAACAATATCGAACAACGAAATCAGACAAATTATGAGGGCAGACGAGACACAGTGATAGGCAGAATTGATTAGCGTGGTTTAAAGTGGTTTGGGCATGTGTTAAGAATCACGGACGAGCGATGACTAAGAAAAGTATTTCAGTGGACTTCTCCCGGCTAAAGAAAAAGACCCTTGAATGGCACCATAAGGGGGGAGCAATGGCAGCTCGTCATTTGGAAGAGTAGAATATTTTCGACATAGAGGTCTGATGACGGAAAACTGGAAGGCAAGCATATTGTAAAACTATTGAAAATTACTATTATTATAATTTATGCCTTTAATATATATGCAGGGTGTTGCAAAACGAATGGGCCATAGAATAATAGCATATTTTTTGTATCAAAATGTTTCGATTTGTGAAATAAATTTATATCCCAAACTCAAAACTTACGGAGATGCAGGGTGACAAAAGTAATTCGCACGTTTTGCAATTACATATAGATGGCCCACACACATGCTTTTTGATAAGCCGGGGTAATTTTCTGGTATTTTCTAAGTAAAAAAGTTGTTATTGTTTAATTGTTTAAATTGTATTTTAAGCCGCAATAGTCGACTATCAATTCTTTATTATAAATATCACTTCTAAATGTAATATTTGATTTGACTCATTAACAGTTCCTGAATTTTATGCCAAAGTTCTTCTCGACTTTTTATTGGGTCTTTGTAAATCACTGATTTAATGTAGCCCCAAAAATAAAAACCTATTTGATTAAAATGCGGACTACCTGCTATTCAACTACTAGACTTCTCCCGTTCATTGTGAAAGCTTAAATTGAGATAATCTATTACAATTAGTGTAAAATGCGATGGTGCTCCGTCATTTCTTATAGCCAAATGTAAGTCATCCATCAAATCCATGAAGGTGTGTTGTAAAAAATTTAATACACGGGAAAACACGAGAAAACATGAGATAAAACATATCAAGAACAAATAAGGTTACGGGTTGTTCTTTTGAGTTAAACCATTTTTTTTTAAGTAACGAAAATAACGGTTCAGATATTTTATCCCTTAGAGTAAAATAACTACTTATGGATCAACTTCGGGTAGTCAAAAACTGGGTAGTTCACGTTCAGAAGAGAAATATTTATTGAGCGACATGAAGAATGTCGCTGAGAAGATTTTCACGAATCTCTTAGAAAAAATTGTCAATATTGGAAGAGTATCGGATTTTTGAGTTTTTAAAGCTCAAGGTACTACCGGTTGCTACCACATTCAAAAATTCAGGTTTCAAAGGGGTCAGAAACTACTCTGCCACTCCTGACGAAACTCGAGAGGAGGTATATGACGCAGATTTTTTTAAGGGATTTATCCAAATTGAGGTCGGCTAATAGAGAGGGTTCTCTTTCCATTCAAAAATATATTTGACTGTAGGGTACTGTCCCTGTCGAAAGGTTGCAGTTTCCTTATGCGCGAATCCAGTAAACTTCCTTTTAAAAAATATTTATTTACGGAAAATGGGCACAAAACAACTTAAAAACTATTGAACAATTAACAAGAACAGCCTATGCCTTTAACACCTGGTTAATGTTAGCGATTACAATAGATTAGCGGTTTTTATAAATTACAAATAGCACGAGTAAGCGTTATTGCTATTGGGTCAGTCCGGACTGGTTTACAAATATTACTCGCGGCCCGGTTTTGATCAAAATTGGGGTTAGATTGTTATGTCTTGATAACGTGCTCTAGCTTGTACGACAGGCTACTACTCAAAGCAGGTGACGCTTTCCAAAACAAATATTCTGTATTGTTTTTATTTGAATATTTGAGAAGATAGAAAGAGGTCAATTTATGTATATCGGAAATTACAGTGCCGGTCAGCTTGCTTCATTCTTAATTTTTAAATTTTTAAGGCAAAGGAACGGCGGGCCTACCTCGCGATTTCGGAAAGCTCACAATAATATAAACACTTACCAGATGCGATATTTTATATACCTTGGAGCGGGGATTATGTATTTCCCGTTCCAAAGTTCTTGTTCCGAATTAATACTAAATAATAAAAGGACACTTGTATCAATACAAATATCATATAAACATGGTGCTATTAAACCGTGATGAAATGTCGGTTATCACTTACTGTTTCTGACGTATCTTGATTTTTAAATAAGAACATTTGGTACGGGAACATTTCATCTGCCAATTCCAATCGTCTGCTTGTAGTTACATTTAATATGCCTGCTTGAGAAGGTATACGCTACGACACCGTTAACTAATGAGCCAGTTAAAGACGACAACGAATATATCGCCAGAAATCAAGCCACGATAGTCAAATGGGCTTGCGAACTGGGTTACCCAGCTTGCATAGAGGATGCTCGCCTAATATTCGAACTTTGGAAAAATAAAATGAGGTGAGTTGTTAATATTGTAGATCGAAAAATCATCAATAAATAACGTGGCGTCTTAGTTGGCGAAATTGTGCGATAATATCTTTCCTTATTAGATTAAGTTCATTTACGCACCATCGGCGTGTCAGAAGAGTATTCAATATTCTACCAAATCAAACTTTCTCAATCCTTATACTCTAAATTTAGGACCCTTATTTATGATTTTTAAAATGACTGATGACTCTATAGAAGAAAAGGCCAATGTTTTGAGATGTACTTAGGAGATATAGGTAAGTGAGGCATAATTAGTCTTACTGCATCTCTAATAATCGAAGGATAACAGAAGAGGCTTTATTAATGATTTTCATTTGAAAACCCGTTTTCGTGGAATATTTTTAGTGATTTTTATTTGAATTGATTGAATTGATACAAATGATTTTAAACAAATATTTAATATTTCTGTTAAACTGTAGTATGATAATTTTTTCCAAAAATCATTAAGCGTGACGTAGTGATAATAGAGTTTAACATGAGGTTGTTACTGCTCGAAAAGTCAATTAGAATATGCAAATCACAATGTTAGCCTCAGCGCAGTCATCAGCACCAATGCAACAACACAATTGCATGCCATCGGTAAACGCTTCTACCTTACAGTACAGAACAGTGTTCAGAAAGTCAGACTTATAAACTAAAAGGAATACTGGCCCCAAAGCGGAATCCCGTGGTATTCCAAAGAGTAAAGTTACTAAAGGAGTAGCGTAGAGCAAGCGCATCTATCATAACCTAATATCGATAGAAATTATATGGAAAAATTATACGCTGACCACGTTTTTGTAACATGCGCTAATATCACCCATGACATTTGTTAGTGCCGCTGAAGTTCTAAAACGTTTTCAAAGCCCGTAGTAGGAATGATATTAATATTGACAATGTTATCGTTTATCTGAGTATAAAAAATTGAAAGATAGAAATCTTTCAATTTTCAACGTTGATTACGAATTAAGATTCGAGATTAATAAAAATATTATATAAAAAACATTAACTGTAATAGTTTACGTTCAAAGTGGGCAATATATATCATGACGCCCTGGATCTGCAGAATGTAACTTTATTCGAAAACACAGAGCAAAACCTAATACATATTTTTAAATTTACGTGACGATTGAGAATGAGAGAACGATAATAATAGAGAGCTAGTTCTTTACATGTCTTTCTTTGTTACACTTGATATCGGTTTGTCCGGACTTCCAGCTGTGAGCTGCACACTAGCGCCACCTATTTGCCTTACCATTAAACATAATTAAAAACAATTGCGCTACATGCAGCCAACCTTGAAAAACACAATTTCAGCATAAATTAACATAATCACGGCAGCACCATGCAATTTTCAATTCAATTTTTTGCACTTTTGTTATTAGCAAAGTTCACAGAAAACCACTCTGACGATGCAGTCGCCGCCGGGAAACAACTCCGAAACTCGTCCTAGTTTTCTCTAGCATGAAACTCCCAATTTGAATTTTATGCGCGCCTTCTTCCCTCGATTTTTGGCAACACTATAGTTCGGGCACGTATTGCTTGTGCCAGCGCTTCCAAAAGTTTTGAACAAGCTGCTGCAACGGCCGGTATTTAGTTAGACGATTTTCCTTGACATCGGTCAGGTCCAGTTCAGGCAATGACATTGTGCCTGTCCCAATCAGAAAATGACCTGGTGTTAACGGTGGCAGATCTTCTGCACTGACAGGCCTCGAGTTCAATATCGATGCAATTTAATTTAACACTGTAGTAAAATCTTCGTGGTCTAGATTCGTATTTCCGATAATGCGTTTCAAATGGTATTTAAAAGTCTTGGCGCTTGCCTCCCAACTTCCTCCAAAATGTGGCGCTCTTGGCGGGATAAAATGCCAGTTTTACTCCTTCACTCATGTTCATGTTTTATTTTTAACTTAGAATTTGTCACTGTAAAAGTTTTACTGTTGTCTGAAAAATTATTTAAAGCTCGCCCTCGTCTAGCGAGGAATCGTTTTAAGACAGTAAAAAATGCAAATAATTAGTTTAAATCCACGACCTTTTTTGTCCTTTGTTAAGAAATATCCTACATAATCGGAACCGGCGTTTGTAAAAGGACTGCATTGACTTAACTTTGGTAGCTACCGCAACAAATTCGGTGTTAAATATATTTAACAGCAATTGTTATCTGCTTAAAATACATATAGAAATTACATTGTGTCCACCGAGCTTTAGATACTAGTACTAATTCACACAATAATTTAGCTATATTTTATTGCAATCTGGGTTCAAATGTAAATTGTAAAATGTAACTAAAAAATACTTTTCCAGAAATGCTTTTTTGCAAATGCACAGCCCGAACTGGTTTTGTAGACAAGATTGTGATTTATGCCATAAATATGATTTACCTTTAATTATAATAGCATTTTATGTAGTATTTTATTAACTCGTTTTGAAGTTCACAAAAGATATAGGCACCTTAGACAACGAACACAATGTAAAAATGTAAATGAATAAACATATAAATTATTTAATAAGGCCTTTATTGTAAAGAATAAAATACATCAGACGTCCGACATAAGAAGCTTCAGTGTTACTTTTTTCAAGAACTTTTATATTAGTTGATTTGAGAGGATCGTCACCTTTAAAAATTGCAAAAAACATTATGAAAGCAATAAAAAAAAATGTTCATTTATAATACATTAAACTATTGTTAATTATCAGTAGAATAATTAAAGCAAAAAATCCATTAATTGTAAATTCGAAACAAAATTTAAATCAGAAGCACTTTACCTGTTGACAATATATTACTCTTAACAATATGTTCTTTTAAAAACTGATGACCGCTGGTTGTTCTATGCCAGAATCCTCTATAACTTGTAATGTTGTTTTGACTACCACTGAAGATTAAAGATCTGCTGGTGTCTGCTCTAGTTTTACCTAGGAAAGAAATTATTATTTTGAATTGTTGGAAATGAAGTCCCAAAACACCCCCCTGTCAACAAAAATTTCTCTTATTTTCAAGATGGAAAATTTTCAGTCACAAATTCACAAATCAATATTTCATACCGAAAAAAGTTGGGAATAAGTTTAAAAAAATGTTAAAAAAAAGGTACCATTCGGCACTCTAAATATGGGCTGTTAAGTACCATCGATAAATAGAATGACAAGAAAACAAGTAACTGATCGCAATATCTACCTAAAATACACTGCATTGCCTACTTTATCAAGACTTTACCACCTCGTCTATAGCTTAAAGCAGCGATGTGATCGCCATATATGGGTGCTCTTCTATAGTTATCACCCTTCCTGGCAGTCCCATTTTGGACAAGTAATGTTATCCATTGTTTCCTTACAATTTTATCTTTTGGTAAACTAAAAAATAAAAGGTAAATTGAATGACACTACCTGGATAAGTGATTATTATACCAAAACAAGGAAACAGACATATATGAAAGCTCACAAAAAAATTGCTTAAAGAACATGGATCAGTCCCATAACTTGCCCAAAAACTTGTAATAAATGTTATTCACACAAGGCAGGTAGGTGATACTAACAAGTCAAGAACATAGCTTATTCTCGAGTCAAGCAAGCGTTGGGAAAATGGTCGGATACTAATCAGGATCTCTCCTTCACAAGTTGTGCATATAATATTTTTCCTACTTAAGCAGTTTTACAAAATCAGTCTTTATTGATGGGACTGTTTCTATTTGATCAGCGTCATATTGTGTGTATACGTTCTGCAGTAATCACTTACCTTTCTAAGAAGTTAGGTGACCTACAAATGAAGTTGAACAGTTGCCTAGAATTCCTGGTAATTCTCAAAAATTTCCTGTAATGCCTTCCAAAACTTCCCAAAAATATCCTGCAGATTTATAGTTTAAATTTTTCCTGTTGCAGCTGAACTGATTCTGGTAATTGCCCACTTTCTGCGGTAATAATTTCTGTAATTTTTAACCAATTCGTTTTTACTAAGATCGATGACAAACGAAATCATTCCCACATTGAGTGTTACAAGGATTTGTAATTGTCAAAGGGTAGTTCTTGTGGTTGTTCTGGTGAAACTTGCAGCTTAATTGTTTTCTTAAAGTTTCTAAAATTCTTGTACACTAAAACATATTACCCAAACATCTTTCCTATGTGGCTGTTTAAGTGTACCACCAGTTTGTTAAACCACTTGCACATAACGCAACACTTACCCGTATATAGGCACATTCTATTCCTTACAGTTTTGACCACAAACACAACAAGCTTTTCACAAAAACACGAAAAAGGTAAGGAGAGAATCACACAATGGAACAGACTGTTGGTATTCTCTTCAAATAGCAATTCCTAGCTCGGCGTTACCTCGGATTTCGGAGATTGATTTTGCGTTCTTATGAAAACACCTTCCCTATGAAAATATCATAGCCACTTGCGGCGGATCACTCTTTACCGTATTTACCGTAGTAGGGCCACTATATTATCTTATAGCTATATGGAGATTTTACATGATGATGCTCCACGCTTCTTTTCTCTTGAATTAGACCTGCTCCATTTGTTACGAATTTTTTCCACCTATCACTATCGATCCAACATAATCTAAATAATAATACTTATCAATTTCTACCTTTATTGACGCCTTAACTTTCTCCATCAATCTACATGCTAAAACGGCCGCAGTTAATTCTAATCTAGGTAAAGTTAAAGGACATGTGGGTGCTACTTTACTTGTGGCAGTGATTAAATTGCATGAATATTCACTTTCGTTTAATTTATCATGGATATAATCGCATCGGCAAACGAGTAAATTTTAATGAACACTGAATTTTTGGCAAAAACATGCTTAGGAATTTTTAATTCATTTAATATGCGCAAATCTTAACAAAATTAAATCCAATCTTCCCGCAAGTTACCTACAACCTCTTGACCACAATAAAGATTTTGTTTCCAAATTGTTTGCAGTAATATTTTTGAGCCTATGATTATATTATCTACTAATTCTAAAATATTAAAAATCTGACTTTTTATGGAAAGTA